ATTCTTCATCTTCATGCTCGAGTGGTATATGAATCGTCGCGTCATCTCCAAATGGCGAACGAGCTCCATTAGGCGCAAATAGAGGAGCAGGAGGTAATGGTCTTCTTGGACTTCCACCATAAGATGTCGAAGGTGTACCAGGCCTTGGACTTCCATTTAGGTCAGATGGTTCGTAATGGTAACCCATTGGGGGCGGTGCAGTGAACTCGGAAGAATTCCTTTCTCTCATTGGAGACCAAGTCCGTGCTGGGGAGGCTCGACCTGATGGTGAATATTGTAGAGGGGAATATGGACGGTATGCGCTTTCGGGAGGAGGTAAATCTGGGGCGTTATCTATTATTGAAGGAGCTCTTCGATGATCGTCGTATGTGGTTGCCGTTGGGGGTCTTCTATGGTCATCGTATGTAGTGGCTGTCGGCGGTCTTCTATGGTCGTCGTATGTAGTAGCTGTCGGCGGTCTTCTATGATCGTCGTACGTAGTGGCAGTCGGAGGTCTTCTATGGTCATCATATGTGGTTGCAGTTGGAGGTCTCCTATGATCATCATAAGTGTTTATCGACGGAGGTCTTCTATGATCATCGTATGAATCCGTGGACATAACCGAAGCTTGGTAAGATCTGCGATCCGAGGAAGTCCTAAGATTTTTAACAAGTGAGCTACTTATATTTTTATTTTTCAATTGAGATTCTAGAGTAGACAAAGGAGAGGAAACCGGGAATCTGAGGGATCTTCTGCGCGAGGGACCATCCGGAAGAACTGGCAACAGATGCGCGATATCGTTGGGGTCATTGGCATTCATCGTTGAACTATCCAGTATCTTCTTTTCCTTTTGCAACTTGCAAGATGAGATGGCTCCCTCTTCTTCCTTGAGAGACGCTAGATGCTCGGGAGTCGTCACAGTTACGGCAGTGAGGGGTTTCCTGGGAGATAAATTAAGAGCTCGCGGTGCGAGTGGTGCTACGTACGGACGGGTATCGGGATCATCGTAGGAAGTCAACAAACGAATTTCGGAGCCATGGCGATTATGACCTGCAGGTATGGAATCGTATTCATCTGGGTATGTTTCTTCTGGGTATGTTTCTGAATACATTGGAGGCATCGACGGAGTATTTGACCGGTCCATTTTTTAATTATGTTGATGGGTAAATTTGCGACAAAAATGCGCCAAATGCAATTCTCGGGGGTTGCGAATGTTTATTCTTCCATAAAGGGAAGTTGTTGATATTGGAAGGAGAAACGAATGTCTTGGGTGTGAGTAAATATTTGGAATTGTCGTCTCAAGAATTACTTGATCATCCCTTTTGCAGATGAGAGGATAATAATTAACAATCAACTCGTATCGATACTCGTATTCTTATTTTTTTTTTTGTCTAGTTCATCAATCAATTGATCACAGACAGACAGATAGATTTTCAAAAGGAAATCGACAAGTGGAGAGAGGGATGTAGGTATGTAGGTACAGGTACAGGCGGCACGGAATTTCAGCTACCCTACCTAACCTTAGTAATTTTTGACAGGGCAGCATGAAAATGGATCCATCCCATCACTGGCCTCTCTCCACGAATTCGAATGGCGGGAGGAGAAGTTGGCTGGACAACGAACGATGATCAATCTATTCCCAGCCACGTTTTTCCAGCAGGTACAGTGAGAACACAGCCATGAAAATGGAGACTTTGGATGAAGATGTGACCAGTCTTTGAAGATGTCTATAAATACTTTATGTTGTTTGTGCAAGTTATGCATGTCCTATGTATTTCATGTTCATATTTACCACTCAAACATATGCAACATATCCATCATCCACTACTCCATATTTCCTCTAAAACTGCAGATATACAAAGTACCTTAGGTAGGTATATAAAGACACAAATAACAACTCCATCATCCTAAAACTACCCAGCATTTACAAAGAACCAGCAGACACTACACACTACCCAAGTACTCAAATACATAACATCTAAGCATCCATAACAAAAGCCGACAATCCCGCAAAATCGAATAGAAAGCCAAGCCTACCTAGGTAGATAGAGCCTAGAACCTAGAACCCAAATAAAAATCCAGCGATAAACAAACACAACCTTCCAACCTACCATCTCTGGTGTTCGTACAAACTCGTATAACTATCTTACCAAACCATATCCATATCCATAACCTTACCAATACCAACCTTACCAATACCAACCTTACCAACCCGAACCAGAACCAGATAAATAAATTACAGGTACAAACAATATCCTTCTAACTATCTACCTATCAACCTAGGCCGGCAAACAAGTCGAACTCCCACCTGTACATAATGCCGACTACAAATCTATATGTTACGAGGTTTGCCGTCTAGATCACGTGGAAGTGCTCTAGGCTCTCGAGGTGGTTTATAACTAGGCGTCAAGCAGGGACTTAAGTAATGACAATAATGATATGCAATTCGTAACTAATAGTAGAGTATACTAAATGATTGATCTTGAGCACGAAGCTCTATACAAAGGGAATCCATCTTGGTTATATAGATATTCATGCTCCCTTGGATCCTTTTGGATCCTCAAGCTCCAAAAGCTCCAAGTCACGTGCTTTCTGACAGTGCGTGCACATACGATCTTAAGGTGGCCCAGATCACATATTAATTCGATGAAATCTGATCGCTTTTGCACAAGGCCCAAGCTCTCCTAATTAGTCAATTGTTACTATCGTAACACAGCTGCTTAAGGTCGTCGATTGGTAGTTATGGGTTAAGGCTTTATCACTGGTATTCACTTGGAAGTGAAGTCGTTACTAGATCAAGTAGAATATAGGTAAACTAATTGATAACTAAGTTGAGCACGAAGCTCCTATACTATGAAACTACTCTGACTATATACTTCTGAATGCTATTGGATAACCTGGATAGACTGGTCTACCTAGGCTATCCCCTAGACTGGATAGACTAGTCTATCTAGTCTATCCATCACGTGATCCTTCTATTTGCCTCAGGACACTAATCCTAATGATGAATCGTGACATTAATTTAGTATATTATTATTATTTTAGAGAGATCTCCAGATATAAATAATGACTACTACTATTTCTTCTACTACTACTACTACTACTACTACTACTACTACTACTACTACTACTACTACTACTACTACTACTACTACTACTACTACTACTACTACTACTACTACTACTACTACTACTACTACTACTACTACTACTACTACTACTACTACTACTACTACTACTACTACTACTACTACTACTACTACTACTACC